TTCACTCTGGTTTCAGCACTTAATCTTTAAATACATATAGCTCTGAATTCACACTGCAAGAGTGTATCTCAGTTCCCAGTTTAAAACCCAGATATTGCTTTACTGTACATGAAAGTGATAATTGAACAGAGACTTGGGAACAGCCTTTACCTGCAAGCAAAGTTACTTTTGTAGGCCACGGGCTTGTGATCTAGGATCCAAACTTAATGCAAGATAAACTAGGAGCTCAGATATTACATGAGAAATGAAAACACTCCTGAGAAGGAAAGACAAAAGGTGAAAAATTAGCAAAGCAATTATGGTTAGAAGAATCTGGAAACTAAGTTTTTAATTCCAGTCCTTTAAAGACTGCTTTATAATTTGCATTTACTGGAGATAAATCCTACCCTGAAGGCTAACTTACTGCGTGTTCTGATTTTGTTGTGCTTCTTTGAAAATACTTGCCTTGCAATAAGGAACCAAAGAGACAGAAGGAGAGTAAGTGATCTGAATACGGTCTCACAAGTACCAAAGAGATTTCTGATAAAGAGCTCTGCTAACAGAGGCACGCAAGATCCAACTGCTGAAAACATCATTTGGAAAAAAATGTCAAAATGGAAAGAAATTTAAAGAATTACGTTACTGGAATAACTCACCTAGGAAAAATAATATTTCAGAATCAGTTTAATAAATATCGATCTGCCTTTATTGCTGAAGCTGCTCATCAGCACTACTCCTCACCCGGCTCTACCTTCAGTTCCCTCCAGAGGCTGTTTCCCTTATAATTAACCATCTTAAACCTTTCTCCTCACTTCCATAACGCAACGCAGAGCAGCACAAGGACTGAAACAGCAGAATGATGCTACAAACGTTAAGTCTTGTTCCTTCACCAGCTGCAAAGCGTAAGGGTCAGATGGCTTACAAAGGACACAGTGTGGATCTAATGTCTCTCCACTGCTCTTCACCTTCTTTACAGGCTTGGTTGCATGCAGCACAAGGATGCTCATCATCATGAGAGGACCTTTAAAAAAAAAAAAGTAATGAAAACTAGTCTGCGCTGGTAATTCTGACAGAAACATAAGTTACCTCCTCTTTGGGTGCTCTTTTTCTTAAGAGTGCTATCCTTACGTTCAGCACACAAAAATGGACAGCTGGTAGCGGGAAGTTCTCTGTTGAAAAGGTAGATGAAGTTTAGATGGGAAGAGGTAGGAAAAAAAAGCCAAGCACCTGGTAAACACTTCATTGCTTCTTTATTTAGATGCACCCACAGTACAGAGCCTCTTGAGCATGTGCATAAGAGGAAGATTACACATTTATAGCTGGGAGCACCATTGAGTTCGAGTTTGTTTGATACCATTTTTAAGAAAGTAAACTATTTCCAAAGAATGACATTTGAATCCAAGAGCTTAAGACCTGCTTGTACTTTATCCAGAGGTGGAAGGCATTGTTATTATTACTTTGATGTAAGTAGAAGACGTGTTCATGGTCTGGTTGGACCAGTCTTTATATTTTCATACGCACCTTTTAATATAATATAAAAAATGTTTCATTTCCCCCCACCCCCCCGCCTACAAATAGTTAAATGCATCTAAATTTAAAAACAATAATGGACCAGAGCATTCCTATGGGGAAAAATGAACTTTTGCTGCCCTCTCCTGCTTAAACAATGAAATGCTAAAATATTCAGATCTATGAATCTAATGCTAACTTTTAAACAAAAAGCATGACAGCTCATTGGCTATACTACAGTCAAAAATAGGCCAACAACAAGAAATGTATTGATACTATTTATATTTGAAAATTCCTCATTTTACATGAGGTTATGAATACAACGTATTTACAGTAAGTGATCCAAATAACAAAAACATGTATTCAGAGGTCATGATAAGAAGTGTGTGCTTCTGTGGATGGGAAGCGACACTGGGATTAAAGTTTTCCATGAAAAATTAGTTCCATCCCGTTTCAAGATATTGTAGACTTTAAATGAAAAACTGGGCAATGCAAAATCTGCTGCACCTATCGACTAGGAAAACTAATCTGTGTCACGCGATACAGCTGGGGAGGGAAGCAGATGAGCCTAAATAAAGTCACACATAAATAAGAACACTCTTCAATCTTGCACTTCTTCAGCTTTATCATCTTTTAGGGGAACTGCTTTGTGAGGACAGTCACACGATCAAGAGAAAATGCCATCTTTGCTTTTAAAGACAGAACTGAAGCCAACTCATTTTGGTTTTATTTGGGGGGAGAAAAATCTGTTCAGTTTTTTTTCCCCTCTCCTCACAAAATAATACAGAGGTTTTTATAGCTCCTAATATATTTTCCTTTCCTTAGAGTAGGAGAGCCTGAGGCTGTACTTACACATGTATAACGTACACACAGCTGCTGCTTTTCTTGCTCAAGCAATTCTTGGCTCCAACAGCCTTGCTTTTTTTCCCATATATAGGAGGAGATAAAAAATAAATTAAACCCTTTTATTTATGCTAAGAAAACCAAGATTAAATGTACTAATGAAAGATCCAATGGCATTAGAATACTTTTATTTAAAGCATTCCAACCTTTGGAAGAGAGACAAAAAACACTCAAAAGCAATGAAAGGAAAACAATAAGGGAGACTTGCAAGATGAAAAAAGCAATATGTGCTCAATTTAAAGTATATGAGAGGAACTTTACTTTTACAGTCATTGTATCCCCATGACCTGATGCAATGCCCTTGTATTGAAAATGCAGTTCTTTCCTTTTAGCAGACAGCATTGAATCCTTTCTCCTGAAGCCAATATGGCACAGGACACGAGCCATCACCCAACCGCTGCTCTAAGAGCAGTTAATAACAACATTTACACAAATAAAGGTAGTTTCTGGAACTCAACAAGCAAATGAAAGCACAGTTAAATAGATGCACTGATCACACTTGGGCCCATTCGTTGCCTTCTTCTTTGCCTAAAACTCCAACTGATCCCACAGGGAGCTGGGTACAGTGGCAGAATATCGCGTTTGGGTTGCGGCAAACAGCGGACCCTGGGGGTACAGTCAGGTCGTTGTGGCAAGTGCTTCTTCACATACACCACAGAGTGCAACCTAGGGTCTCATCAGCCTTTTAGAGTCTCGTGACTAATAGCACATTGTCCCATTCCATTCAGAGAAACATTCCTTCTTGGAAGTGATAAATCATCTACAAGCTTTCGACACTCCCCGCTATCCCCACATCAGAGGTAATAAAATATTGCAACCCATCAGGTTCTCATCAGTTGTGTATGATCAATACCAGAACGTCATGTCAAAACCATAAAGTTATGAACAAACAACACTCACCTAAACTCTAAGTACAGGACAAGGTGCTTTTTCTAATTTCACATCGTTCTGCTTTACTCCACCAGGTGGAAAATTTCTTTTTTTAAATTTCCATTATATCTCAATTTTTCACAATCAAACAGTCTTTAAGCATGATTCAATCCATCCTCTTGTAAATCGTGATAATTTCACACAGAAATCACACTAGTAAATATTTCTTTTTTAACAGAAATAAAAGACTGTCAAAATCAATGGGCTAAGGGACGTGATTTGTTATAAATTTATTTAATCTTCAGCATCTCAGCTTGCACCTTTGCTTCAGCACTTCAAAATAAAATGTTTCAACTATGACAATAACTGTCTAATTTACACTGCGTCCCAGCCAGTGTTCTTAGAAGCTCGTTAATCCCATTAAACCATGTTGTGTTGGGTGTTGCATATGACTAGATCCACCTTTTTTTTTTTTTCCTGTCCCAGAATTAACAGTGCCAAGTTTTTACAAAACTGTTGAGTTTACAACATTTGTGTGTGCAGACCCAGGAGTACAAACTGTGACCTGATAATCCCGAAACAGTCAGTAGTCAAGGAGGGAATTCTTTTTTTCTTTTCTTTCTCTCCTCTTTTCCGTGCCTGGAAACAAGAAAACTTCAAATCCTACTGTATACTTAAATGGTAGGAAGAAAAATATACAAGCATGTATTGATACTGTATTTCTATCAATGGCAACAGGTCATAAATTCATGTTTGCAACTATCACAAAGACTCATGAACACCAATTCAGTTTCATACTGTAAATACTGCTGGATTGATGGTTTAGGATTATCAATTCACTGTTGTCATATGACCATAACAGTTCAAAAGCATCCTGGAGTAAAATCCCGAAACACATACCTTTCGGTATATAATAATGCAACTGCATTAGCTAAATATTTACTGTACATAAGTTTTATCAGCATTTTACCTACCAAAGATGTAAATTCCACTTTCAAATACAAAGCAGATAGCCAATAATGTATACTTATAATACAGCCCTCTTCTTTATTTTTTTTTCTACTTTTTGTTTGTTTTTTTTTCTTTTGTTTCAAACAATTTGGTCACAATGCACCTTTGATATAAAAGCTTTATTATTAATACTCAGAACATTAGGATTTCCAGAATTTTTTTTTCAGTAGCATTTGTAGAACCACTTTTGGTAACAAATACAGTAGTTAGGAATGAGCATCCAGATGAGAATGCAGAAGTATATTATCCAGAATCCTTTCCAGCTAAGACCATAGGGCTGGTACTGTGATGAGTAATAATAGTACTAGAACCACAAAAACACTATAGTATGTTTCTTAGAGGCTACATCCTCTTTTGCTGGAACACTTTATAAATACATATTAAAAAGTAAGGCAACAACTCCAAACAGTCCAAACTGCTATCTCAACTCATTTCCCAATTAGATCCATGACCACTGGAGATCAATTTCATGCTTGCACTGTTTAGCGTTTGTCTTTATTCTTTCAAAATGGTCCAATAAAAACATACTGTAGTAATTTAGGAATTAGTATTTCTAAAACAGCTCTGGTATGCGTGTCCAATGCCGTAACACTAATACTGGTTAGGTACTGAAATCTAAGCTGTTACCACTGTCCATTTTTCGAGGATTGTGGACACTAATTTGGATTTGCAATAAATAGGTGCACGAATCCAAAGCTCCCTTTCCTACTATGTTTATCACCTACTTGTTTTTTTAGCTCCTAATGTTCAAATTAAAGAAGCACCAGAAAGAGACTGGTACTAAAAAATGCTCACACCAGTAAACAAAACTTTTATTCAGGACCTACGTTTTTTTTTCTTTTTTTTCTTCATGGCCCTGATTTGAATGGACATTCAACTTATGAAGATGTGCAAAAGGAAAGAAAAAAAAAGTCAAATTACAGTAAAGTTATCCAGAGAAGGAGGATGTTACACAAACTCATAAGGAAATGACAGTCTTTTTTTCTCTTTTACTATAAATACACTTAACAGTTTAGCAGAAAGACAAGCTAAATTTTAAGATTGTTCACATTTGAAAGTTGTATTATACTCTCTGCTAACGATAAATAAGGAACAGGTCCTGACAATGAAATCTGACATTGCAATTTTTATCAACAGATCTTTGAAGACTGGTTTTAAAGAAGGGTTAAAACAATGATTATGTTTGCAAAGTTCTGAGAAGTCCATCTGCTGTCCAAACTTTGGATTAAAGTCCTTATTTTTTTCCTTTACTTAGAGACAGGTATATACAGTGCTGTTGTAATAATGAAACAAATGTGAAATCTACTGTAAAGTTGCACAATACAGAAAACTGTTGCTCCATCTTCTACTACATAAATGTGTGACTCCACAGGTTAATAATGCTGTTTTGTTTTTTTGTTAAGTTGGAATTATTCCATCACGTCTAAGACCTCTCTTTAATTCCAAATCCTCCAGTTTTTTCCACAGTTCTTCACGCTCTTTTTCTTTCTTCTTCTCACTGACAGATGAAACAAAACAAAGAGTTAGCAGACGAAAATAAATATTTATGTAAAAATGACATTAATTAGCAGTACTGATTTTATTTAATATATTTGCAATTCCTATACATACTTACTTTTTTTTTTAAGGTTTTTTTTTTTTTTTGCTTTTCATTGCCTATGTAAATACTACTAAAAAAAAGCATTAGGATAAAACAAAACAGCAGGGCTTACACATGCTATTCTGTAATAAAAAATAAATTAAAAAAAACATACATGGACTTCTATTATGGACCAACTATCATTACTACTGCTAATCTGCATTTTGTTATTTTCAAGTTTCTTTATTTAGGGCTTTCATATACCTCTGCAAAGGGAAAGTTCAGACACAAGATGTATTTCTTAGTCAGTACTTTACTTTTTTTTTCCCTACCAAATTCTATGTAGTATTTTCTTTAGCAACAGGCTTTAATGGCTATTTTGTTAAAATTAAACAGCTAAGCTTTACCTGCATTATTTGCTTTCCAAATTTCCTGTTTCTGCTGTAGCTTATTTTGAATAAATTTCCCTGCATTTCAAGATGCAAAATGCATCCCATTTCTATGATATCACCCTGCATGTTCAGATGAAATGAAAAGCTAACAGTAATAGGTACACGTTCTCCTCCTGTCAGATTACAGAATTCTTAAAAATATTTCAGTGGATTAGAAATACTATTCCTACATATCTTAGTTCAGCTGCAATGTCAATATCTGTTTATAGTATTTTCAGCATCCAAAAAAAGAAAAGCAACTTTTAACTGAAGATCAGTTAAAATAAAATAGAACCCACTGCCTCTAAAACATAGTATCACAAGAATAAATGAAATAGCTTGACATTTTCAGGCTGTTTACCAGATATTTATTATCTTATCATTATAAAATATATGCCCTCTTAGTGAAAGGCTCTGAAATGATGATAACCTCATTCAACTTACCTATCTGACCTACCACAGTCATTAACACTGAACATTTCTCTCCTCAAGCTTCAAGTAGTTTAAAGATACATTTTTAAAATGCTGTCTTATTAATACAATTAAGTTTTTCTGTAAGCATTATTTTTTTCTTTAAACATCCAATTAATTAATTATCCCTGTTTACACATGCAGTTATTTACATGCTTTAAGATGATAATTAGTTGTTCAAACATGGAATGTACTCCACCGGTGCCCCATTCTGTTAAGAGCTGAGTTCCTCATTGTAAGGTACAAAGTGCAAATGACACTGATTTAAGTCACTGAGGTGACTTGAAAATGCCTGGATTAGATGATCAGTCCTGATATTCTCAGCCTCTTTTGCTAGGAAGCCACATGGTATTGCCTCAGCTGTTCTAGCAGATTGAACCTTATTTATCATTGGCTACCTACAATTCATATGCATCTTAGTTCACAAACCTGAGGCTTTAAATTTAAAATGCTTTATTGGTTCACCTGTTAACTGTGCATTTTTCATGTATAAAACTTCTTATTTTACAGCAATGAAGCATAACTAACAACAGCATGAATCCAGACACAATTCTAAAGCCATGGCCTCCAAGAGACTTTAGAGACTACTAACATAGCAAGTTTTTATGACTTCCAGAATCCTTTGCTTTGCTTGTGGGAACTCCAAGTCACACAGAAGTTCAGAGTTCCTGAATTTTATTTTATTTTTTTTTTAACCTGCTACTATGGATGGGCTAAATCTCTTGAGAGAAGAAACTCCACAATAATTGGAATATGAAGGAGCATAGGAAAACAGACAAATAGCATACGACTGAGTTGGAATGAATGAGTGGTGTACCTAATGGATTGCACAAGCTCAAAGATTCAGATCAAGGAAGGCTTCTGATTAAGAATCAAAAAAGTTGAAAGTTGCTTTTGTGCTTTAAGACAACATCTAGTCTATAAGCATTGATTTGGAAAATCAAAACATGAGGATTTTCCTCATGTCTCTTTCCAAATCTCAGTGCTTGTTTTAAAATCTTGAAGCAAAGTGGTATCTTTAAACACTTATTTTCTTTTATCATTGAAAAGCTTCACAGAAACAAAGAACAGCAGAGGTCAGATGGGGCCTCTGGAGACCACTGATGTATCCCCTCAAGTAGGGCCACCCACAGCAAGTTGCCCAGGACCATGTCCAGGCAGCTTCTGAACATCTCCAAGCACGGAGACTCCACAACCACTCTGAGCAGTGTGTTCCATTGCCCACAGTTAAGAAGTGCTCCCTAGTGTTTAGATGGAAATAGCTTAATACATCTAATTTTTTTTGGAATACAATGTCAAAAGGAGTTTCCTGAAACCTCCCAAGCTATTACCATGTTTTAAAAGGGGTAAAGATCAACTCACACATTACATTTGCTCACTTGCAAACAGTAAGCAAAAGAGAACATAGGGAAAAATACAGGCATTGTGTAAATTATGTATGAGATTTTGCAATTGCAGCTGAGTGCAAAGGAAAATCTGAACAGCAGTCCTTATGCACAGCTGACAAAAAAAGCTTTAAAAAGTTACCGCTGACGATCTGACTTGTAAGTGGCTGTCAGCTCATCAAACATGGTGCTGTTCATTTCCATAAATGCCTTCAACACATTGTAGACTAAAGCCACAATAGCCCTGTGAAACATTAAAATAGAAGAAAGGAATTTGTTAGTTTCGGGTGAAAACAATCAAGAAAACTATCTTCTCTTACCAGCAGTTCTGTGACAATTCTGCTCTCGCAAATATGCAAATTTTTATTTCAGTGAAACTACTTGATTAACACCTTTAAAGGTATGAATCAGTTCTTGATAACTCTAATAACTACTTACATGAGGGAAAGCAAACATCTAGGGTAAAAGGTAACAACAGAAAGCTGTTAGAAATAACGACAGAGTCCTCCCTCATGATATTGAACAATTCTGAATGCAACTCCAGGGATTAAAATCACTGCTTGCAGAAGTACCAGAATTGAAACAAAAAAAGGGTATGATTCATATTTCCTTACAATTCTTCCATCAAGCTGAATAATCCATGCCTCTATGCAAAATACAAGGCTTCATTTCAAAAGTGCTGTCCTTGTATCATTACATTTCATATTCACTTTCACTTTGGTACATTAAAAAAATTATTAATTAAAAAAAAAAACAACAAAACACCACCACAAGTGGTATGGATGCAGTGCTGTCATATCTATGCAAAGCAGTATACAGTGTATGAATAAACCTCTGCTGCCTTTGCTTATTGCTGTAACACAGAAGTCAATACATCATTGCTCATTTTGATTCCAGTTGCTTAACTGAATAAAACAGGACCTGTTCCTACAGAAAGAAATGATGTACAATGCCAGTAATTTCAAAAAGGCTTCAAAGACATTCTGTCACACAAAGATAACCTAAAATATAACAGTATTTCCAAAGTAACAGGGGTTTGTTATTAGTCTGATTTATCTAGAGTTCAAAATTCCTCTCCAGCAGAATTCAACATAAAAAAAAAAAACATAGCAACAGAGGAGAAGGGAAAGAAACAAAGCTCAAAAACATTTAAAAATTTGAACAGATTATTAATCAAGAAATCCTGATTCCTGATCCAATGCTACGGGTGTCATATTCAGACACATGGCTGCTTACGAAACAGCTCATCAGCCAGCATGAATACCACAACTGCTAGCAATGTTTGGAGCTAACTACATAGCAAATGTGACATTTCCACATTCTCCTGTCTACCATTCACATCTTTTCAGTAAACTGTCATTTTTGCTGTCCTCATTTATTAATGTTCTAATACACATAAAGATTCCTAAAATATTTTCTTTATTCAACAAGTTTCTTAACCTGGTTTGCCTGCTTGTGGTACAACATTCCTGTAGGTATGAGCACTGAGAACTGAAAGACTAGCATGTTCTCATTACTTGAAGCATCCCAGAATGTAGTACAGAAGGCTGGACAAAGTGCTGGAAGGTTTGAGACCTTCAGTGCAGTAGCAAGCCACTGAAAATGTCTTTCTGTAGCCAGCCTTTACTACGGAGGGTTTTCAGTACCATTAGATTTGCGATGAAAGTACACGAACTCGAGGGTTTGGAAGATGTAGAACAAATAGCAAAAGATGGAATAGCTTACAAATGCTTTACAGGAAGATCTTAGCAAAGTAACTGGGATCTGAGCACAGTACAGCTCATTAAAAATACCAGGTTTTACAAACAGTAATCTGTTTGGCTTAACAAACATTTCAACCCAAGTGTAGAATATGTGATATCTAACTGTAACAATGTTTTTCATGACACTACTAGGAAATTTCATTTAAAAACAAGAAAGCAAAATATCAATAGGAAGCCACTAATCTGTGCAAAATGGAGAACAGATGTATTTAAATAAATTTAGAAGGAAAAAAAAAAACACTCTACCTAAGAAATAAGTGATGTTTATATGCTCTATAAACATTCAGAAAAATGCTGGTACCAGAGGGAACAGTACCATCCATGATACAGCTACAAAGCTTTATTAATGCCAAGCATTATTATTCTAGACAACACATTTACCAGCTGTTTATGAGAAATGCTTGATGAGCAACACTTTTTCTTCAATAACAATACAACGCCTAATTTTTCTTTCTTTTAACTTATGGAGAAGGTTTATTTTTATCCCCCGAGGTACTGATCTTCATACACATGCCAGATAATTAATATCATTTTGAGCCAAGCTCAAGCATAATCTAATTTATATTGGCATTAACAGAGCTGCACCTGCTCATGTCAGCTTTGAATCTGGGTATCTCCTATTCTGACATTCTTCAGCAGATACTTCCTAAATTGATCAGTAGTTTGACAAGAGGCAATTTTAAATTTAATTGCAAGAACTTACGGATTCCAGTGCTCTTTAGAAATCCTATAAAGGCTGGAAAACATGATGGGAAGTATGACATTTGAATTCTCCTCTATCAAACTCATGATGTATTCATTATTCCAATAGTACAGTGCTCTTTCAGCCACCTTTGAGTCAAAGGAATAAAATATTAACAGGAATTCATATATCTGTATTTCTAATATTCTGAAGCAAAAACAAACCACAGAAATTTCATTCAAATGAATTAGCTCTGGAATTAAAACTCTATTTTTATCAGTAATATAATCTATATTAATGAAATTGAATTTTTATACTGTAATTCAGATCCCACAGTATCTACCCTCTCTTACTCCTGAACAATATGTAGAGAATCGATATAGAACAAGTGCAGATAACACAATACTGCAGCTTTGGAAGTGAAAGGACAGTGGAACAACTTTTCCATCTCCTTTTTCCCTCCACCTTTGATTTCCCAGATGGAAGGATCAGACCAGCATTAGCATACAAGACAAAGGAAACTGTGTTATGTCCAGTAGCTGGGCTGAATATGGGATATGAGATTTTAAACATGGGCAAGGTACGAATTACAATAATCATTATGAGGGGCCAGTTGGGAACTAGGAGAGAAAACACTTATCTATATTGCACTAAAAACAGATGTAGTCCAGGAACGAGCCTATAGCAGTTGTATCACAGAATCACAGTGATTCTGTGATTCCATTCCAAACCCCTGCGAAAGCAGGTTCCCATAACAGTTGCACAGGAAAGCGTCCAGGCAGGTTTTGAATATATCCAGAAAAGGGGATTCTACTATCTCACTGAGAAGTTTGTTCCAAAGCTCTGTCACCCTCTTAGTAAAGAAGTTCTTCCTCATTCATATGGAACTTCTTGTTTTCCAGTTTGCCTTCATTGCCCCTTGTCCTGTCACCAGGCAGAACTGAAAAGCTCCTGGCCCCATTCTGTTGACACCCATCCTTTCATAAGCCTTGATAAGATCCCCTCTCAGTCTCCTCCGGGCTAAACAGCCCCAAGTCTCACAGCCTATCTTCATAAGGGAGATATTTCAGGTCCCTAATCATCTTAGTAATCCTCCACTGCTGGACTCTCTCCAGCAGTGCCCTTTCCTGAACTCAGGAGCCACAACTGGACACTGTACTCCAGATGAGGCTTCACTAGGGCAGAATACAGGGGGAGAACAACCTCCCTCGACCTGCTGGCCATGTGCTTTTTAATATACCCCAGGACACCACTGGCCTTCTTGGTTGCAAGGGCACACTGCTGGCTCATGGCCAACCAGGACAGAGAAAGAAAGGGATCCTTTCCAGCAGGTAAGCCCCTAATTTGTATTGGTGCGTGCCACTCATTCCTCCCAGCTTTGCTTCATCAGCAAACTCGCTGGATAGGAACAGCTATTTCTTCTTTCCCTATCCACCTCACTGTCCACTCATCAGCCCACACTTCCTAAGCTATTAGGATGTCATAGAGGGCAGTGTCAAAAGGCTTGCTGAAGTAAAGTTACACATCAACTGATCTCTCATCTACTCAGCCAGTCATGACATCACAGAAGGCTACCATGTTGGTCAAGAATGATTTCTCCTTTGGGAATCCCATTCTGGCTACTCCTGATAACCTTCTTGCTTGGAGATAACATCTACAATAAGTTGTTCCATTGCCTTTCCAGGGATGAGGAGAGGAGAGGCTGACTGGCCTGTAGTTTCCCAGGCCCTCCTTCTCCTTACTGCATTTTCTGAAGACTGGAGTGACGTTGGCTTTCCTGCAGTCTGCTAGCAGCTCTCCAGTTCTCAATGGCCTTGCATAGAAGACAGCAGAGTGGCTTAGCAAACACTTCTGCCAGCTCCCTCAGTATTTGGTAGGTGCATTCCATTAAGGCTCAGGGAATTGTGTAAGCTTATTTTGTCTAGATGATCTCTAATCAGATCCTCCTCAACCAAGTGGCAGTCTTCCTTTCTCCATGGTTGTTTTTTTTTTTTGTTTTTTTTTGTTTGTTTGTTTTAACCTCTACAGTCTGGGATTCCCGAGAGTCAGTCATTACATAATGAAGCAAATAATCTATCTCCTTTTATGTTAGGATAGATCACATAGCTTAATACTTAGATGATATAGCCATGAATCCTAACTCCCCTTCACATATGATTAAATTTAATTCCTATTCATCCCCCATCTTCCCATCATCCAAGAAAGAAAGTGGTCTATGGGACCTAACCAGCGATCTACTTAGAGAAAGGAGGAGGTAGGAGAACAAGAATGCTGCACAGTGCTGCACTAAAAAAGGGAGCAAATCAATCCCACTGGGCCTACAAATCTGACAGCCATACAATCAGTATCTATCACCTACAGCTGTAGGGGCTCAAAGTCAGTTTGGACAAAGTTTAAAGCCTTATGTAGCTCCAAACTGCAAGTTCTGTGATGTAGCCCTCAAATATACTTCATCATGGAGCTCAGAATTGAACTTCTACTGCAACATAGCTTTCCACAGGAACCCAGAAGACAAATATTTAAAATCACAGAGCATAAAATGGTATCTACATTTGAAGAGGTGTTATGCTAGAAATTGAGACTACATATTCCTAAACAAACAATCATCTTCACCACTAACCTGAAAATGAGGGCTAGAGACACACTTGGCAATTTGTTTAAACAAAGGTTCCTGGATTTTGACAAATTGTGATGGTTCAATTACATCCAAGATTTCCTCAAGCTCTCCTAGGAACATGACCTACAGACAAGGAAGGAAGCAGTGAATTCAAAATCTCTGAATCATCTTGATCAGTAAAATGCTGCATGCCTTCAACTTCTCTTCCTCTAGGGAAAAATGTAAGCTCATCAAGATTCTCATTCAAAAAAAAAAAAACCATGACAACTTCTGACTCTAGTATTATAAAAAGATACCAAAGTGTGCAAATGCTGTACTTAAAGTAGTCCCTTAAAACAAACTTCAGAATTGCACTAGGATATGCATGCTGAAAACGTAGCCTCATACAAAGACTTTCTAGTCAAAGTCTTCATACCTGGTAAGTAAGGAGAGTCACATAACAGAGTTTTATCTCCTTTTTTAAAGTAATATTCAAAATAACAGTTTCTCTGAGTCACAAAATCTCAGGAAATCTCAGATTTGCATTAAGAATTTTAAACAAATATGCAAATGTTTAACAGCACCTTTTACAAGTTTGGTAGGTAACATACTATTTTCAAATATAAAGACTTCCAAATCAAACAAAGTTTTTAAAATTAGTCCTCACTATATTTATTCTCTCCTTTCTAAATCAAAATCTGTGTAAAATCTAGTGTTTATTTTGTGAGTAGAAACTATAGCTATCAGCAGCTTTTCTCTTTATTGTCAGAACTGTCCAGAAAAAAAAACACCATATCAACTACAAGAATTAATATCAAGATCCAATACAGCATGTACAATCTATCTGGAAATACCTAAATATTCACTGCATATCATACTGTAGAGCAAACTAATTCTTACATTTTTGGTTAACAGTACTAATTCATTTACCTCTTTCTGACTGCAGGTTTTCGGCCAGAATTTCATTAAGCCTCTGATGACCTAAATTAGAAGAAAAAGTAGTTAGGTTTGTTTTTTTTTTTTGAACATTCCTCACAACAGGATAAGCTGTTTATCATGGAAAAAAAATATATGAAAAATATTTACTGGTTCTGTGAGTGAGGGGTCTTTCTCCAGAAACTGTACTATGCAATATGCCAGCTGTGAAGAGGTAAAGATTTAAGAAAACAAAGTTAGAACATTATAATGAAATCACAGACAAACATTAAAAAAAAAAAGAGAGAGAGACTATAGGCAAGATGCTAAACAGCTTTCTCAAAATCAGTCAAATATTTAAACTGAGATGCATAGTTTGCACTGTGCAAATTCATTTAAATTCAAGTTATAGGGAACAATAAAGAGAAAACATCACAAAAACTTTCATGTGACAAATTATCACATACAATTAAAAATCAGAGCAACTTGGAGTTCAAAATACAGTGATACAATGTTTGTAAGATTTTGTTAATCTCTGAAATTGCTTCCTTTTACATGTTTTGTATTTTGGTAAAATTGTGAAAACTCACAAGATGAGCTGGCACAGCTAAAACCTGGTAACACATTTAGTAACTGTAGCTTTGAAAGTATAAGAAAGATTGCACTATCAGAATATCAGACAGAAAGGGAGCAGGTATCACTTATCAGAGGAAAAATGTCATCATGACAGCTGAATGTATGACAGGACATAGGAGAGCAAAAACATGGTATCAAGTCACTAAAGGAACGCATTAAAGATCATGCAAGAGCGAAGGCATTAGTATTTAGAAAGTTGCCAGTGTGAGGAAGAGCCTAGAGAGCACAAGACTAAGGAAACTTGAACATCCTCTTGGGACAGAGAAAGGGGATTGCAGAATGGGAAAGGCAGCCTTGTGAGAATGAGGAAAGAACAGAAAAGGAAGTCTAAAGAGTTTAACTATAAAAGTTTAAAGCATTACAAACGTAGGTTACATTTTCAATTATCTAACCAGAATAAAAGGTATTTGTCTTTAAAAAAAAAATGCAGTAAATGAATAAGAAAATCTACTGCATCTTCCCACATTACAGAACTTTTCCCCCACCTTTAACTCAGCAATTAAATTTCCAAAATAACTAAAAAATTACAGAATTCTAACTGAGCAGAAAATATTTTTGTAACTTCTACCTGTGCATGGAAGAGTGATAAACTCCTGACAGTATGTAAAGGAATCAGCACCTTCACCAGAAACTGTTTATGCTCTGCCTTAAGAGGTAAAGCAAAACCATTGATAATACTAGAAATTAGAAGAGAAGTATTTGTTAGTGTTATCATCACAGAAAACATTCTTGAGGTCTGAACAAGAACTTTCTACATTAAAATCATTTAGGAGTCAGCACCTGTATAGGGCTCAAGTTATTTGTAAACAGATGCTGAAATTTGCCCTCCTTTACATCAGCAATTCAGCACATATCTATACAGTACATACAATTCAGCTCTAAGTTAAGAATCATCATATGAACAACTGCACAAATCTTCTATCAAACAGATAAGAACTTGTCTACTTAATCTGCAAATTCACATGTTCTTTGGTAATTAAGTTACTATAATTAGGTATATGAGATATTCACACTGCTAATGTACTTTAAAAGAATATGCAGTGCATAAGGATGAAGTGAAACACACATAAAATCAACCCAACCCTTCTGCCTGTAACTTGCATCCACATAGGAACTCCTGGCAAAGACAGGAGAGAGATTTGCACACGGGCTTAAAGATGAACATGTGCACACATCTCTTTCAAAATCAGGGTTTACAGCAATACTTTTTCTAAGTCTGACATTAGTCTGACATGTCCAAGAGAGAAGCTTGATGTTGGTAATGAATGCTCATTTACCTTCCTAAAATTTCCAACAGCTCAGCTACGCCATTGAAGTGTTCAGTTTCATAAACAAATCTAAAAAAAAGAAAAAGTTAAATATAAGTAATATATCAGCTTACTACAATATTTATATGAGAAAAATATCTTCTCCCATAGCTTACCGTAGAAAAATATTATTAATCTGTTTTCGGATAAATGCTCTAAGACCCAGAAACTTGCCATAAATTCTGTGCAAGACTGTTTTTAGGTAGTCCCGTTCTCGAGGGTCTTCACTATCAAACAGCTCCAACAACTGTGTTTAAAGAAAAAAAGAAATTAAACTGTAGATAGACTTTACATTTGACTAGTATGGCACACAGAATTCCATATGGCAGTTAAATTGCAGTAGGTTCATTGTAAGGACACAGTATCCCATACTACCCAAGGTTCAGAAATACAGTTATTAAAAAAAAAAATTGCAACCCCCTGTACATCACCACAAAGCACTACTTATTCACCTTAACTTCCAGCATAAACATTTAGAAATCTTTAAAGAAGACACTTTTATTAACTGGCTCCCAAATGCTGCCTTCTTCCTCCTCCCTCTCCCCTCCAAAAAATAAAAATGCTGCCACATCTAGAAAATAACACACTATTTCTTAGAACTCATTTTCTCACTGAATTAACAGACCTTCATTTTAATTGCATAAGTATGCATCAAAGTGACATATTCAAAATGATTTTCATTTATAAGGTCCTAAGCCTTTCTAGAGATTGCATGGCTTTCAGACTGTGGACTCAACAGTGCAGTCTGTGGCAGCACTGGATCTGTTGTTCCAGGATATCTACCAATTAATGCAAATCAGTCAGGATTGAGCAAAACATAAACTGCAATATCCAGTTAAAAAAAAAAAAAGAGAGAGAAAAAAGAGAAAAAAAAGGAAAGAAATAGGAAAAAAAATAAAGATTTCTTTACTTTGGAAATGCTAAATGAGATTTTAAAACAGCAAAATAATTATGTGGTTCTCAGTCAAAAGAGAAGACTAGCCAGTGTATTGTTCTGTACAAAATCTATCCCAAAATACTGCTCTCCAAAGCTTCCTCTAAGAACCAAGAAACGAGCAGCAAGAACAGCAGTCTCACAGAATCACAGAATCGAAGGGGTTGGAAGGGACCTCCAGAGATCATCGAGTCCAACCCCCCTGCCAAAGCAGGATCCCTACACCAGGTCACACAAGTAGGCGTCCAGGCGGGTCTTGAATATCTCCAGAGAAGGAGACTCCACAACCTCCCTGGGCAGCCTGTTCCAGTGCTCCGTCACCTCACCGTAAAGAAGTTCTTGCGCACATTTGTGCAGAACTTCCTATGCTCCAGTTTTCGGCCATTTCCCCTTGTCCTGTCTCCACATACCGCTGAAAACAGTCTGGCCTCGCCACTTTGCCCCCACACCTTAGGTATTTATAGACCTGGATCAGGTCTCCTCTCAGCCTTCTCTTCTCAAGGCTAAACAGACCCAGCTCACTCAGCCTTTCCTCATAGGAGGGACACTCCAGGCCCTTCACCATCTTTGTGGCCCTCCGCTGGACTCTTTCCAAGAGATCCCTGTCTTTTTTGTACTGAGGAGCCCAGAACTGGACACAGCACTCCAGATGAGGCCTTACCAGGGCAGAGTAAAGGGGGAGGATCACCTCCCTCGACCTGCTGGCCACGCTCTTTTTAATGCACCCCAGAATGCCGTTGGCCCTCTTGGCTACAAGGGCACACTGCTGGCTCATGGCCAACCTGTCGTCCACCAGGACACCCAGGTCCCTCTCTGCAGAGCTCCTCTCCAGCAGCTCATCCCCCAACCTGTATGAGTACATGCAATTATTCCTCCCTAGGTGCAAGTCTCTACACTTGCTTTTGTTAAACCTCATCTGGTTTCATCAGTCTCACTTCTTCAATCTATTTCCCTACCACAAATGTATGAGTTTCACCTTATCTTTTCAGTTCCATCTTTTTTGACACCACAACATCTGCTATTTTTGCAGATATCTCAAATGAATTAGAAAAAACTTCTTTAAAAAAAGATAGAACTGCACAAAATGTAACACAATTTAAGTAGTAAGAAAGAAAAGAAAGAATGAATATCAACAAGATAAGGTAACATTCAAGCAGTACATATCTTGAAAAATAAATGAAGGCAGCTTGCCAAATGAAGGCCTTAAAATGTTTATGATGGTGGCAGAAAAACATTACAGGAACAGCAGAGAACAAAATTATTCTCAATTCACAAATAGATGAATTATAATTATCTATTATAAGCAGACATGTAAGTGCATGTACACTGCCTGACTTCTGTGTAAATGGTGCACAATTTTAAGAAGGTGAAGAAAAAAGAAAATCAGAAAAAGATTTAAAGATTTTTTTTAAGCTTTCTGGGATTTTGCTTTCTAATTCAGGTTTACACTTGATGCATGTGTTCTTCTTCATTGTGTTGGACATTTTTTCCACTATCTTAACCCTGCAGTAAGAATTCCTGATGGCAATTTCAGGAGGAAACTATGGGGTTTGTCAGCTGCCCTCTAGAGGTTATCAACACATTGTTCAATTAGTTCCACTGTTAAAGAAATAAACAGTTACTTCATCCTTCCTCAAATAGCAAATTTCACCCAAAGATAGCAAACAGCTGGAAACAGTTCTGTTTTTAATATTCTTATTGGATTGTTTTTAGGAGCAAAATATAAATATTTCCAGTTCTTTTATACAGATTCACTGTGGAAACGTTGCTGAAGTCAGACTTGGTCTCTCATTTAAAAAGAAAAGATGCTTATTTTGATTTGTCCAATTCATTATCAGGTTTCAACAATAAAGTCTTATTTTTATGAACAAGCTGTAAGACTTCTATGATTTACATAACTGCTCTGACACCAAACATACACAGAAAAGGGAAATAAAACCTCCAAAATAGCAACCTACAGTAACACAGATCCATGTGGAGATATTTCGATAGTGCTTCTTAGCAACCACTGCAGACTATATACAATGAAGCTTTAGAAATGAACAGTTACACTGTGAGTGTACAACATTTTATCAAAACATACTGCTGAAAGCCAATTACACATCTATATTAAAAAAAAACCAACCCACATCTGTCTCATTCTTCCCATATTAGCACACTTCTTGCTAAGAAACACTTCACTCAAGTCCACTTAATGTTAAAAAACAAACTGTGTTAGAGAGCAAACTGATGATAAAAACTGTCATAGTTGTATTGCCAATGTCACAAAACATAAGCACGTCTGGTGTTTCAAAAGTCTCAAGCTGATTTCTAGTGTAAGTGATCAGTAATAACAGATTGTTAACTTACGTCACACAAAAAATACAGAAAGAAATGCATGGACACCCACGTTCCTAAAAATCAAACAAGAACACCTATGAACAGGGAAATGTATCTCTTTGCATGTGTATATAAAGCTCTGCAGAACTTTTGATAGAAAAAGCATGAATGTTTAACTGTGCAAAGCAATATATAACAATGCATCATCTGATAAGAGCTTCCAAATTCTTCAAATTCTTTCAAACTCCAATTTTATCATACGTTTTCAGATAAGTAGGTTTCAAAACATCACACTTCTCCCTTTCAGTAGATAAAGACCAATGGGATCTTAAGAATCCTTGTTTTAGACCCATTCTTTATTGCCAAATCTTAATCGGGCTGAATGTGTTGAAAAGCTTTAAGTGATTAGGATACCTCTGAATCTTAAATTTTAAGGATAAAAATTGCTCCCTAAGCTAAATTCTTCAGGTATCCTTTATGTGAATAATGTACAAGAACAGCAAATTACTGCTTTTATTGCCTAAGCATCACAGGAAGAAAAAAAAAACTCCAGAGGTGAGAGTAAGGTCATCAGCAATTCTGGGCTTCCCCAGCCATTTCTAGGGCTTCTATTCAAGTCTGAAACCCCAGGAAATTCCCTTTTCCAATTAAGTATGAAAATTTGCAAATTTCCATGATTTCAAAAGCAAGTTATGGACTGCGTTAAACATGAAGCTGATTCTGATTTTGTGGTTCTACAAGAATTCACAATGGGAACACAAAACACAAACAGGCCTATTGTTGGAAGCTGAAGACAAAAAGCAAAGGGAGCACATATGTGAAGTTTCCTGCCTTATCCCAGAAAATATCACCTTCCAGCCATCTCTGTTCTTGCCTCAGTCCTGGCCTAGAAGAAACTTCCTCAGCTGAGAAGACTGACTACTACAGTTTGAAGTGAAGGAGGAAGAAGATGAAATGTGTAAACCATCTGGCTGCCAGCTCACTGACAGACTGTGGCCACCTCATCCATTTAGCCACAAAGGCAAGCGAATCTGTGACTGCTTACTAAATGCTTTTAATAGAGCTTGAACTTTATATGGTTTTTTGATTTACTTCCCCTCCAAGCTCTATAGTGTTACTGTTTTTGGTACAGCTTTGGGAATAGGCTTGTTAATGAATATCTGCTCTGGTTGCCAGCTCTCCAGCAGAGAAAATAATTTCCCCCTCCAACAGAAATGTTTTATCAATAATATGATACATTAAAATTGTGGTGTCTCTAGATGGCAGCATTTTCAGAACACTTGCCTTTCATTTTTCAACAATTACTGTTTCAGCTTGCAAGTCAAATACAAGTGCTGATCCAAAAGTAATGCCTCCTATTTTATTATATTGACCCACAACTTCAGAGGCAGATGTTGGTGGTATGGCAGTAGAGGTTGAACCTTCCCACCAACAACCCATTATATTTTGTTGCCATGAGACAGATGACAGCAGAGGGGCAGTCTAACAGAATGGAGTCTGATATGAAAGGACACACAAATGTCCTTTCTTCAAGCAAAGGTGTGTCACTGAATTTGTCCACGTGGAAAAATGGAACCCAATGGCATTCAACAATGCCTGCTGAAGGTTTACAGAGATCAAACAGTGGATGTGAGTACAGTGAGGTGGCGGGTGCTGCATTTCAGCATTGATGACAGCAATGTGAAAGACAAGCCATGTTCCAAATAAGCATGCACAGCTGCCACAACACACAATGAAGAGCACCTTCATCAGCTCACCAACACAAATTAACTGATTACCACTAGGAAACCGTGTGTGGGGCTGAAAATCAGTTTCAGTGTGTTGAAAGTGGTGATGGCAATGTTGGAATATTGCCAAGTTTGCATTAGATGGGTCCCACAAGTCCTCACAAAGAAACAAAAAGAACATCATGTGCAAGTTTGTCAGGACCTCTTTAAACAGTAGGAGCCCAACTGTTTTCAGGAACTGCATCATTACCAGTGGTGAGATACATTGTCACCACTACAAGATTGAGTCAAAACAGCCTAAGAAGAGGCAAGATGTGTATTTCCCACAGAAGAAGTTGTTCAAGATGCAGCCTTCAGCAGGTAGGAAGAAGAGGTGAGTGATCTGTCTGGATTTCCTGGAACTCAGACAAACCATGAACTCTCCCTGACCAGTACACCTTGATGCTGACTACACTGAAGGCTCAAACTTCCAGAGTCAGGCTAGAGAAAAAGACAACCTTTCTTTTGCAATACAATAATGCCAGGCTCCATACCAGTTTGAAGACTGGGGAGAGCAGTATCAATTTTCACTGGACTATCCTACCACACCCACCATACAGACAAATTTGACATCTTCAGATTTCCATCCGTTTGCTCCGATGGAAGACCGACTGCATGGGCAACATTTTCCTAGTAATGATGTTGTCGTAGCAACTGCAAAACAGTGGGTGACCTCCACTGGTACGGATTTTTGAACGCACACCATGAGGCTTTCATCTATTGTTGGTGAAAATGCATAGCTAATGATGGTGACTATGTTGAAAAAGTGTTTTGTAGCTGGGAAATTCTCTCAAATAGCATTACTGTGCTCTTTTTCGTTGTTGTAGTTTCCTTGGAAGCAGATAGAAGGCACTATTTTTGGAGCAACCTACACATTTAACGTATTGAAACTGGAGACAAATCAAGCACTGTATATGCCTATAGAAACAGAGATCAACATACTTCCCACTTCTGTAGTTTAACAACTTTCATTATAAATGCTTGTTGAATATTTTCTGTTGCAAATCTCAAACAAAACATTTTCAAAGCTATTTTTTTTTTTTTTTTTCAAAAGCAAAGTGAAACCTTAAAGAAACCATACTGGCTTACCTGCAATACAAATTTCTGATCTATGTATTTTTTGGCAATGCTGGGCTGAAATTCTTGGCTTTCCAAAAATCGTATGAAAAACTCATATACAAGCTGCAAAGTAAAAAAAAAAAAAAAAAAAAGGTTTAGTTCTATGACTTCATTATTGTTTATTATTTCTAAATGTTTCACTAGATTCTTTCCATATAAAACAAAATACTTATTTTTCCACAAAGCAGGAGGATGAGAAGATGAAAAATATTTTCCTCCTTTAGCAAATTGCTACCTTAAGTGTTTCAATTAAACGTATGAGCTTTGTAAGTTACTTTTGCTTATTTAACTCCATTCAGAGATATCTAATCACTAAATACAGACACTGCCATCTTGTAATGCTTGTTATCATCTTGTAAAGCTAACAAGGGTAATTGGAAAGCTCATTTAAACTGCCCTCTGTACTGCTTAAGTCATATCAAACTGAAAAATTACAGTTACGAAAGAACTGGTGAAACAGATAGAAATATTAATTTTAAATTAGAGACTACTCAGAGTAGCTTTCTATGACAACTTGAAACACAGAAAAAAAATAGAAAATAGGAATTTAATCAGGACTTTCTGACTTACTGAAAAGATTAGCCTCGAGGATGGAGAAAACCTGCTTGCTTCTATTCAAATCCTTCTCTGCCTGAACGATTCAGTGGGACAGCAATAGATCTTTCATTTGGTAAGCCAAAAAGAAGCAGAAGAGGCACTCTGATAGCCTCATGTAACACCAACTCTGACCTGTCACTGATGACCTGAGCAAGCACTTCTCTTTACTGCACCTTTTTGAGAAGAGCAGGCATTGGAAATTTTTTCCCTTCTGGTATCAGCAGGTTTGAATATAGACACTGAAGGAGAAAGGAAGCTACAAGTTATATTTTAAAGCAACTTTAAACGTTTCCCTGCAAACACCATTATGTTGCAACACTGCTGCTGCTGCTGCTTTATGTCAGCATCCTCTGAGTTCCTCAAAAATCAAAAAGGTTGAGAGAGGCTGAGAAATATGACGTGGAAAAAATGTCAGTTTATGTCACTAACATCAATTCAGCAGGAAATCTATCAACTTCTGACAAATATTTTGGTACACTTCTTCCTCACAATGGTAAGTCATCCACTGGCTAAGAAATTCTATCCTTTCCTTTTTAAGTAATGACTTTTAAAAACACAGAGCTAGTGTCAATGAAAGTAAGATAGCAGACGTGCCTCTGCTGCTTGTAGGCTTCCTAAAGATTTTAGGATTCTTATTTTGTGAAATTTATTATAAATAAGGAATGAACCCTACATATCAAGAGAGTCCAAATCTAAGAGAACAAGAGAGTGGAACTACTCACAGGCGAAGATGTGCATCCAACTGTTAAATAAAATACTCATTTCAAGCTGAGATCAACTATGCCCCTTTGCTCACAGATCCTAGACTCCACAAACTGTTTCTCTGCCAAACTTCTTCTAAATTTATCTGTGGCGTAAGTCATAGTCCTGACTAACAAAGACAGGATCTGCAATTCCTTCCAAATAGATTCCTTCTATGAAGGAATTTACTGCAATAGCATCAGTTATGCTGTCTTGCTCCAAGACTATGTTATGTTTTTTGTTCCAAATACCTTCCATTGACACTTGAGCTACAGAGGAAGCAATGACAGACAGCACTGAGCACTCACCACTACAAACACCTGAAAGTAAACTTCAACTCAGGGAGAGGAAGGGAGATACAGGTAGAGATACAGATTCCCATTTGTTTTTCTGATCAGCAGACAACTCCTGTGTGCTTCTGTAGGAATGTTAATTATACTCAGTAAAGTAAAACAGCTAGAAGTAATGTTATTACTTGTGCATCAGAGCAACATGGGGGAAAAAAAAATTGATCAACAAAGGGAAACAGGACTACAAGAGACACCATCAATCCAGTTCTGAAAGTTCTAACACTTCCCAAATTCAAGAAGTACTCTACTGTCTTTGTAGATACTGTGATATAGCCAACAACAACATTAGTGAAGTAGAAATAGAATCTTCTCATAATCTTGTGCTATCTCATACACTAGTTCTCATCCACAGGATAAAAAAAAGTTATTGAAAATTAGATATATTATGCAACGATAAGCATTTATTTTTAAATAAATGCTCAAAAACCTGTAGATGTGGCCATGATGCCTCCAAGGTGGGTTCATCTTCTTCTGGATCAAATTCATTGCTGTCACTAGGTGGGAGAGTTCTGAAGATATTGCAAGATACCTGAAAAGTGAAAGAAAAAATAATGAGATCTGTTTTTCAAACAGGTACTAGATTCTAAGCCTACTATAGACATCCTCATTATAGAAGCAATATTTCTACTGCTTACTGTCTGACAATGCTTCTTAGCAACATATAGGTCAAAGGAACCTAACACTTTACAAACCTACCACAACTCTGACACTTTACCTTCTTTAGATGTTTTGCTTCTTTCTAGGAACATCCCAGTATTCCCAGTGAGCCATCATTGCTGACTTCCCCACGCTCCACATGAGCCCACCACTTTATTCCCTGTTCTGCTGGCCATCAAGGTCAGCTAGGTCACAGGCATGGCCATCAGTGTGCACTGACAAGGGTTTTCATATACTTTATTTTCCTTTGCCCCAGGAAATACATTAACATCTGTCAACAGTTGCTTTAGTTATCAGTGTTCTTCACACAGTATATGCACAGACATTTTGTATCAAGTGCACAACTTGGTACTAAATGCAGGCAACAAATATAACTTGCCTGTCACTTTGCCCATATTTTATTTCATGGCTGCTTCGCTCTGCTTAATCTTATTTAGAGGTACTTTGCTCAGAGTGCTTGGCCTTGTGAGGCTCATGCTATCAGCAAAGACCGAAGTAGAGTATTTTCCTGGGTTAATTACAGTGCTGAATGGAGTGTACTGATTATTATGCAACACATCTTATAAACAGTAAACATGCTGCAGGGCCTCTTCTGCACTTTGAAGGTGGTATAGTGCCTTCCTTGCACTCTGCTACTGTGTTTGACCCATCTCTAAGCTGGTTAATCAAACAGCTGGGAAAGGCAGCATATTATCTCCTAATCCTGTCTATACATGACCCCTGCATAGTAGTCCAGACAAATTAATCTATTTAAGCAACGAAACTAGTACACTCTTCAACATCCCAATGCCTTTTAGAGCTGTAAATATTTTATAGTTAGTCTGTAAGGCAAGTCTTCAGTATGTTGGCAACTTAACATGAGAAGACAGATTAAAGCCAGGAGTTTAAATACAATCCAGATAGCAATGAAAACAGACTGAGCCAGAGTGAAATTTCAGAAGCTGCAAGGCAAACCAAAGAGATTTGAGTGCTGCATAAATAAGATGGAACAACAGAAAACTGTAGGAAAGCATATGCAGTACATAGTAGCAAGGAATATTCAGTGAATACAAGAGGAAAACAAAAGTACTGACTTACTGAAGAGTAAATACGGCAAACCAGCGAGCACAGAAAAAAAGTGGTCATATGGGTTTTGTAGTTGGACTTTTTTCATTTGCCACAAGAGGGAGCATTTCGCTACAGATACTGCAAAACGCTGGGATAGAATCTTTCAGAGGATGACAATCTCGTGTTGTCAACTCGCAGGGCTTTCAAACCTAATAATACTGCACCTATCAGCTTGCTACAGCACCTTAGATCCATTGAACTCTGTCCTATATGCACATCTGCCAAATGATACCTCATGTTCAGCAGATGTTCTCCTCCCCACTTCTTTTCCTGAGACCTCCACTTCTCTTCAAAGCCTCCTTCTCTAAGTCAAGCACATACTTCAGGAATATACAAATGTTACAGTCTGTTCTTCCCCAGCGATTCCTGACCCCATCCTTCTACCATCCGTGAGAAGGAAGAGCAGACAGAAGAGGAAAGGGATCAGAACTAACAGGGCAGAGGTCTTTATTTAACAGCTGTTTATGAGGGTGGATATGATAGGACAAGGGGGAATGGTCTTAAACTGAGACAGGGGAGGTTTAGGTTGGATATTAGGAGGAAGTTTTTCACACACAGGGTGGTGAGGCACTGGAACAGGTTGCCCAAGGAGGCTGTGGATGCCCCATCCCTGGAGGCATTCAAGGCCAGGCTGGATGTGGCTCTGGGCAGCCTGGTCTGCTGGTTGGCGACCCTGAACATAGCAGGGGGTTGGAAGTAGATAAGCATTGTGGTCCTTTGCAACCCAGACATTCTACGATTCTATGATTTATAAGAGCACAAGGCAGTAGAAGAACACCCAAAGGATTCCCAAGTAAAAAGGGAAAAATGCACCTATTGGTGCCTTCCATCTGAACACCTGGGATTCTGCAGTACTTACCAAAGCATTTCTGGTTAATGCTTCACATTTGAATATCCCCAATTTCTCAGCATTTGGCCCCAAACAGGGAACTAGCAAAATCAAAAGCAGTCACCAGCTTTTATTCTGCCTTAAACTTCGTTTGAAAGAAGAAAATGAAATTCTTCTGCAAATTTCAGTTAATGAAATTTACCAAAAAATCTGAGGAAACATAAGTATTTATCAGATGTTAAGTTTTAAAATGAGAACAAATGTCTAAGTATGGCACAAGCAAGGAAAAATACATACTACCAAATGACAAGCTAAGTGAACTCAAATTGCTGTAAGATTTCAATTAAGTTGATCCAAGTTTCACACAGTTGCCCTAGCAGCAATAGAAGAAAGAAGGTTTCAGCAATAATTAGTTAAGTGCCAGGACCGACATTTCAATCTTAAGCTTCTACCAAAACCAGAGAGACCTCTGGAGTGTGTATTTAAAAATAAAAATTAAAATTAAAAGTCAGCCTCATAGCAAGCCAAAAGCAGGGTTTTTTTTTTTTTTTTTTTTGCATAAGAACATACAGCAGGAAATGCAATGCAAGGTAGAAGAGAGTTCTCAAATAGTTTACTCTATGGAATTTCTTTTTCTTTTTTTTCTCTTTTTTTTGCATTGGGAGCAAAGATAAGTTATACGGAGCCCAAATGCAGACATTCTCCTGAGGACAACAGGTTATCTGAGACAGAACAGGTTATCTTCAAATGATTCTCAGGGTAACCATAATTTTAAAAGATAATGCGTGCCACTACAGTTATATTAATCACCACAACGCAGCATGAGAGCTCATTTACATGCAGTGTCAATTTACAGCATGCTTATCTAGATCAGTAGCCTCTGGGTGGCTAATGTTCACAAACCTCTAAGGGAGAACCGAAGGCAACAACTTCTTCCATGCATGAACTGCCCAGCTGTGCGAGAGACTGACAGCCATCACACAACGACGGGGAAATGATGCACCAGATCTGGGAAGAATAATTTTTCTCACAAAGGCATAAGGTAGCTATTTAGTATTTGTCCCTGGGCCCAAGCAGAGTGCCAAAATTCCTTTGGCTCGATCGATGAATCACTTCCCTTCTGACCTCTGCTGGCTCATCCAGCCATAGGACATCCCTGCCAGCCTCTGCACAGCCCTTGATGGCTCCTCTCCCACAGCCAACGCAAATGACTGCCGATCAATACTGACTGCCATCTTCCACCAATTAGGAATGCCTCCAAACCCTGATGATATTTTTGTACAGTGAACCTGAACTCTAATATTCTGGAAAGTTCTATCATGACAAATCTTCTCTATTACGCGTTCCAAGTTGCCTGCATGCTATGCTTCAAGAGCATCCCTTCCAAGATACTCACCAACTGAACACAAAAGTCTAACAGCCCTTCCCCAGGATGTACAATCTGAATAACCAAGTGCCAGAAATCAATTCAATAAACCAGAGAGATCCACCCATCAGCAACTAACCTAAAATTCCCAAGATCGTGTTGGAAATGCCACAAGATCTTTTTTCAACTGCAGATACCCAGAAACCTGTAAGCTCAGTGTTGGTGCACAACCCTGACAAAATCTTCTCCAGGTAACTATGGTTAAGTGCAAATTCATTAAAAACAAATGGAAAGATAGACAAGGCTGTTCTGGTACCACCACAAGGAATGAACTGTAAGTTCTGAACAGATCTGAGGGTGGTAACCAGCAATCCAGAACAAGGAAACTATGAACATACAATTAATTTGAAGTAACAGGCTTCAAGAAGTTCTGATCTTATCCCTATGTTTATGTTTGAAATAACTTTAAGAAAATCAAGTACTAAGCTGCTTAAGCCTGAAGTCAGGAGAAAATGTTTGAGAAGTCCTCTCTCCATCCCTCACTAGAACACCACAAAGCACACTGATGTTACAGAAACACATCATAAATTCTATTTCAGCTCAGTGCTCATTTGCTATGCTGTCTGAAACACAGATTTGATCAGTAATATTTTTTCTGAATGGAGCCCTAAATGAAAACAAATGTACACAAAAGGAAGTATAATATATTAGCTATATAAAAACAGGACCAGTGAATTAATTTATCTGTGTTTCTATTGCAATAAGTGGAAGTGCCACATAAACCCCATGTATACAAGAAATTGAAACTGGCTATCTGCACACACCATGATGAAACCAGTTGTGCATACGCACAATGCATGGTAACAACAAAATGTAATCAGGCCATATATGAAGCTATTTGAACTAGGAGTCAACAATGGCTCACAATACAGGCACTGACACTTATCCTTCTGAAATATATCAGCTATGTGGGTGTTTTTTTGTATTGTTCATGGATTTACAGCCATTCAACTGCAATCTTTCTATATATACCACTTAACTGTTCCCAGAAGTTTGAAGTGCACCTTACAGAAAGAAAAACCCAGTTTTATTTTAAAATATAAACTCCACCAGCTCTTACAATCCTGACTTTAACTACTGAACTGACAAGGGCAGTGCTGCTCCTGGCTTCAAGGCTGAAATAGCCTTGTAAAACCATCAGATCTTCTCAGTATCTCCCTTTAAATATATTTGCATATGCAGTACACATCTATGGGTATATGTTTATATTATATATATATATATATATATATAAATATAAAACTATATGGCAGCTCTCAATGCCTTTGCTGCTAAATGGAAAGAAATCTTCTGAACCCAGGCAGATGTTGGTTTGTTTTCAATCCTGTGATTGTTTTTCCTACCTTCCTTTAAGCTCCCACCTTTATTTTCTTAACGTCTTCAAACACGTACAGCAAATGTGCTGGATGTGCATAAAAAGTCTGACCATTTCCCTTTTTTGAATAGTGCACCGTATCAGAAACTTATATTAAATTAGTCAAGGGACTCACCCACAATGGTCAAGTCCCTT